CAGCCCCTCACTGGGGGAGTCTAGACTCCGGGCTTTCACTGAGCCACTCCCAGCCCCTCACTGGGGGAGTCTAGGTAGGTGTTCCACCCCTCTTCAGTACTCGCAGCCCTGGTATCAGAACACACTAGACACCCAGATATGCTGGGTGTTACGTAGGTTAGGACCAGACCTGCAGCTGCCTTGGGAAGATGTTTAGAGAGTTAGGTCCCTTCTGGGAGGGAAGTTCAGGGACCTTAGGCATCAAGGGCTTTCTTGCATGGCTACCCTCCCCCATCTTGGGGGCAGGAAATGAAGAAGATTTTCTGGAGGAGGGGCTATCTTCACTGAAATCTGTAGGGTAATTCGAGTCAGCCATGGAAAGTGTTCCAGGCCAAAAGAATTGCACACGTGAAGAGCTGGAAGCAGAAGGGTGGAGGAGTGATCCTAAGGCTGTTCTTGAGTTTTAGGTTCTGGGTAGGCAGTGGGACGCTAGTGAGGTGCTCATGGATAAAAGCACTTGCCACCAGGCCTGATGACCCGAATTTGATTCCCAGGATAGGAGAGAACTGACTCATACGAGGTGTCTTTGACTGCCTCATGATCCCTCCCCATGGGGGTTTGAAAAAGTGAAGTTTAAAAAAAAAAAGAAAAAAAGGAAAGTTTAGTGATGGGGATGGACCCGGTGGGACAGAGGCCTGATCCCACTGGGCACCACGAGCTGTATCAAGCCTCGGGGCTCTCCAGAGAGCCACGGGGAGTCCTGTGATGTGGGCTTTTGGAAAGGTCCTGGGGCTGGAAGAGAGGACCAAGCTGAAGTCGAGCTGTCTTCTCACCCTCGCTTCTCCTCCAGAGTAAGCTGCTTGAGCTTCAGGCTGGAAAGAAGTCTCTGGAAGACCAGGTGGAGGCGCTGCGGACAATGAAGGAAGAAGCAGAGAAGCCAGAGAAGGAGGCCAAAGAGCAGCACCGGAAGCTGTGGGAAGGTACGAGGTGGGACAGCGCTTCGGCTCTGACTGGAAAGGAGCTGGAACGAGGAGTCCATTGTTGGGAACATCTTCCCCAGCAAGGTCCATATACATGCTAGCCAAGGGCTCTCATCCCGTCCTACTTTTTGAGGCAGGGTCTTGTGTAGCCCAGGCTGGCCTTGAATTTACTATCTAGATGAGGAAGACCCTGAACTCTGATCCTCCCATTTCCATATACTGGATGTTTTTGTTTTTTTAATTCTTATCATAATGGCTCATTTCTTTTTTTTGTTTGTTTTGGTTTTTTGAGACAGGGTTTCTCTGTGTTGCCTTGGCTAGAAATCCTGGACTCGATTTGTAGACCAGGGTGGCCTCGAACTGACAGTGGTCCACCTGCCTCTGCCTCCCAGTGCTGGGAGTAAAGGCGTGTGCCACCATGCCTGGCCGACTCATTTCTTTGTGTACCTAGTTATCTTTGTGTTGGTCTTCATATGTGAAAACTGTAGGAGTGAATAGTTGGAAGCCTTGAGTGCAAGAACCTCTTCTAGGGCTGATTTTCCTTTTGTCTGGTGACTAGAACCTTCCCCCCCAGGGACTCTAAGCCCAAGGTGAAGATTTGAGATCTTTGACCTCTGGAGCACCATGCACCTCACTCCCCAGCAGTTGGAGTGAACCCAGCGCCTTACTCACGTTTGGCCAGCCCTTGCCTTCCTGCTGGGGTCACCCCAGCCCCTCACCGAGGGGTTTCGGGCTGGGCCTCTACCACTGTGCTAGTAAGCCTTCAGCCTACGCAGTACGAACTTAGATAAGGATGCGATTCTTCTGGCCTAACCTATGTCTGAGGAGGTGCCATGCTCCTGGGCTGATTAGAGGCTGTCCTGTTGGTCCCCACCTTAACTTTGATTTCGGTTCCCTTGTCCCACCCGGCACACCACCCTGTCATCCCAGAATTAGAAATGCCAGGCCGACTTAGCCGACATAGTGAGACCCAATCTCTAATAAATAATATGTAAAGAAAGAGCCAGGCCTTGGGCACTGCTGCCCTGAGGTGATGGGTATAGTGGCACACGTTTTTAATCTTAGCACTTACCTCTGTGAGTTCAAGGCCAGCCTGGTCTATAAAGTGAGTTCCAGGACAGCCAGAGCTACATAGTGAGACCCTGTCTTGAAAAAAAAAATCAAAAAAGGGGGAAAAAAAAGGTCAATCTCCACTATACAGGGAGCTGGCTAGCCTGAGGTACATTAGACCCCAGTGAAGTAAGAGAAGACCAGGTACCTAGGTGCTGAGAAGGGGGGTTGAGGGCAGGCTCCCGCTGGGACAGGTCACTCAGGCCCTGCAGGCTCTGGAGGCGCTCTGAGCAGTGAGCCTTGTGCTGGTTCAGATGTCCCAGTACCCTCTGGCCGCCATGAGGGAAGCAGCTGTGTAGAGCTTGGTGCGCATGTAGACATCAGGACAACCTGCAGGAGTCAGTGCTCGGGTTGCCAGGCTTCTCGGCCAGCTTCTATACCTGCTGGACCATCTTGGTGGCCCCCTCACCTATTCGTCTTATTCCTAAATCCGTCCTCCCTCCCAGTGGGCACAGCCCTTTGTTAAATCCAGGCCTGTGTCCCCAGCGCTCAGTGCAAGGCTGGCCTCACAGTGGGGCTCCGCGTTTGGTGAGAGCAGGTTTTGGAGGTGATGGGCTTTGGCCCGTTGTGGCGCAGGGTAACAGTGCTCCCTCCACAGAGCAGCAAGCTGCTGCCAAGGCCCGGCGGGAGCAGGAGCTGGCGGCCAGTGCCTTCCAGGAACTGGATGACAACAGGGATGGGGTGTAAGTGTGGCTGAACTGCCTACTGGGGGTCCCCCATTCCAACCGAGATGGTCCAGTCTAACCAACCACCCTGGCCGGTCTCGAGTTTACATCCCTCCTGCCTGGCCTCCAGAGCCTTGGGACTGCAGGTGAGAGCTGTCACTGCCAAGTCGGCATGGCAGAAGCAGGTGGGCCAAGAGCAAGGGGGTTGGGAATATAGGGTCTAAATGTCTTCCAAGGCCACTCCGCCAACTCTCCCCCGTGCCCCTTCGGACTAAGGTGTCTTACAGGGAGGAGGGAAGTGGCTGGGTGCACCCCAGCCCAGCCTCCTCTCACGTGCAGAGGCCACAGAGGAGCCTCACCCTTCTTCGTCTGTACTCCTTAGGGTCTCCCTGGCCGAGTTGCAGACTCACCCAGAGTTGGACACGGATGCAGATGGAGCGCTGTCTGAGGAGGAGGCCCAGGTACTCCACCTGTCCTTGTCCTGGGACTTGGAGAGACCACTGGCCTAGAGTGAATTCAGGGTGAGAGGGGCCAGGCCAGGCCAGCTGTGATGAAGTGCTCCCTGTTGGCCAGAGGTGAGGCCGTTCATTCAGTGGAGACCACGTGATGCTGGCCACCTGGTGGGACCCTGGGCCAGGACCAGGGCAGTGTGGAGCCTGTCCCCATGCCTGTCCACCCACTTGGCTCCTGCTTGGTGCTCCCGAGTGAAAGTGCCGTGCACACTGCCCCTGGACCCCCAGCTCTCTCCTCTCTGCCCGCCACCCCTGATCCTGCCTCTCTGTCCATCTCTGCTATAAACTGTGTCTTTCCTTGCCCCTTCTGAACCTTGGCTTAGGGTGTGATGTGCTCTGGCACTGTGCCTCTGTATGCCTGTGTCTTGTCCTGATGTCCCCTTACTGCTCAAGCCTTGGTGCCGCCTTCCTTCAGGCCTGTGCTGTCCCTCCTGGTCATAGTACCTAGCCCTCTCTGTGGCCTGCTCCCTACTTGTGAGTGCCTGAGGTAGTGTGTATGGGTTTGTGGAGGCCCTAACTCCGCCCCTGTCCCAACAATGCAGGCCCTTCTCAGTGGAGACACACAGACTGACAGTGCCTCCTTCTATGACCGTGTCTGGGCCGCCATCAGGGACAAGTACCGCTCTGAGGTGTGTGGGGAGAGGAGGAGGGGAAGTGGTCAGGAGCCACTCTGTCATAAAAATGCTACCTCCTGTGCTGGCACACAGACCTCTTTGGAGGCCAGCTCTCCCTCATGTGTGAACCAGTGTCCCCCAGCCGTGATTGGGGGCTCCCCAAGCCCTCCTCAATGCTGGCCTCCACACTCCTGGGTCTGCCAGGTGCCGCCCACTGATGAGCCTGTCCCCTCCACCCCGGATGTGATTGAGCCCAAAGAGGAACAGCCACCAGTGTTGCCGCCCACAGAGGAGGAGGAGGAAGAGGAGCCAGAAGAGGAGGAGGAGGAAGAGGAGGAGGAAGAGGTGCAGGGGGAGCAACCCAAGGTGTGTGTTGGGAGAATGGTGGGCAGGTGGGTAGGTGGGGCTGCCTGCTGACCGGGCCCTCCCCTCCCAGGAGGCCCCAACCCCTCTGCAGCCCCCACAGCCTGCCAGCCCTACCGAGGAGGAGAAGATGCCACCGTATGATGAGGAGACACAGGCTGTCATCGATGGTAAGTGGCGACCTGGCCGGAAGGGATCCAGCTTCTTCATTCGGCAGTGAGGCCCCCACCTAACATGAGTGGGTCTGCCTCCTCTGTCCCCTGCAATGCCCAGGTTGCCTGGGGGTGCTGTGTCCATGCCCAAAAGTCCTCTTTTCTCATGGGCTTCACTTGTTTGTAGCACAGTGGCGGGCTAGGGGTCAGCTGGGCCCGAGTAGCCCTGGCCCTGTACTCCAGAGGCAGCGAAGGGACCTCACTCTGCAGCTGGCCAGGCCTAGAAGGCTATCCTTGTGGGGGAGGCAGCTGTCATGTTCTCCATGAACTGGGGTCCTCACTGACCTCCCCTCCCTCAGCTGCACAGGAGGCCCGGAGCAAGTTTGAGGAAGCCGAACGGTCCTTGAAAGAGATGGAGGAATCCATCAGGTATGGGCACCAAGGCTGCCTCCTGCCCAATCACAGTCTACCACCAATTCCTTAAGGAGGTGCCAGCCTGGCTCTTGCAGGGCCCCAAGCACAACCTGTGTCTGCTCACCATGCAGCTGGGCCCTTCTGTGTGGTGCTCCTGTCCTCACTCCCTTTACCCTGGGACCTTCTGAGCCGGGTTCCTGGCCTCACTCCCCTTCCCCTGGGACCTTCTGAGCAGGGATCCTGGCCTCACTCCCCTTTCTCACTGGCCCTGCTTTTCCAGGAGTTTGGAACAAGAGATCTCCTTTGACTTCGGTCCCTCTGGGGAGTTTGCATACCTCTACAGCCAGTGCTACGAGCTCGCCACCAATGAGTATATCCTGGCACTTGGAGGGCTGGGGGTCAGGGAGGAGGACGCAGGGGAGGCCACTGGGAAACAAAAAGTTATGGCTTATGTCTGGGATAGCATCACTGGAGGGCTGAGGCAGGAGGGCCTCAACTTGAGTCTGGGCTCCTTCCCCAGTGCCTCATTAAACTGGGCAAAGTAGGCATACTTGAGGTGGATGCAAGGAGGGTCATAAGTTCAAGGCCAGTCTCAGCTACTTCAGCATATTTGAGGTTACCCTAGGCTATGTGTAACTCTCTGTAAAAGGGGACATAGGCAGAGTCTAGGAGTCAGTGTGCCTTAACGTGCCTATGCACCTGGATATTATGGAGGCAGAGAAGGGTTGGGAGGTGATGCCTAGGGTCCCTGTGTCCTGTCACTCAACAGCCCTGCTCCCTGCCCTTAGGTACATCTACCGGCTTTGCCCCTTCAAACTAGTCTCCCAGAAGCCCAAACATGGGGGCTCCCCAACCAGCCTGGGGTGAGTGCCCTGAAGTTTTCTGTCCTTCCCCTGCCCCCAACCACCCACTGGCCGGGCACTCAGCTCGCCTGCCTACTCTCTCCCACAGCACATGGGGCTCCTGGGCTGGCCCTGATCATGACAAGTTCAGCGCCATGAAGTACGAGCAGGGCACTGGCTGTTGGCAGGGCCCCAACCGCTCCACCACAGTGAGTGATTGACCCCGGGGTCTGTGGGGACCCAGGCCTGGGCCAGACCAGACCAGCCTCCCTCCTGCTCTGTTCCAATCCCTAGGTGCGCCTGCTCTGTGGCAAAGAGACAGCGGTGACCAGTAGCACAGAGCCCAGTCGCTGCGAGTACCTCATGGAGCTGATGACACCGGCAGCCTGCCCAGAGCCGCCGCCAGAAGTGCCCACTGATGGAGACCATGATGAGCTCTAGCCTGGTAAGGAGGCAAGGCCTCTGCCTGCTCCAGGGTGCTGATGCTGCTGTTCCCCTAACCTCTGCCCTTGACTTTTCTTATTTATTTTTTTAGACAGAGTGTCACTGTGTGTAACCTTGGCTGTCCTTGAACTTGCTTTGTAGACCAGGCTAGCCTTGAACTCAGAGGTCCTGAGTGCTGGGATTAAAGGAGTATGATATACCACTACCTGGCTTGCACCTACTTTGTTGTTCATTCATTCATTCATTCATTCATTCATTCATTCATTCATTCATTC